GGCAGAGAGGCCAGACAACCTATTCATCGGAGCTAATATTGGTAGAGGACCTGAATGCATGGAATCTGTTTCCGTGGGGTTCGTATATATGGAAAGCTACCTGGACTAAGTTGTCGTCTGCCTTTGATGACCGCAAAGTTGCGGGCGATGGGTCCAAATACACTTTGTCAGGCTTTGTTTGGGCCTTTAAGGTAAGAATTTCTATATAATGTTTCTAAAATTATAATTAATTATTTAACAATTACTATTTTGTTATATTGTTTGTAGATTTGGATATTCGAGGCTTTCCCCAGCATGCGTACATATGCAATAAAAACGTCAAATGATATTCCCAGGGCTATTTCCTGGAAGAGGAAAACTCTGTTGGATTGGGAAGACTTAATACCATATGCCACAATAAAATGTAAGTTAACACAAATACTTTCATATAATATAAACAAGTTATTAATAGTAGACGTTTAACTTTGTTTGAGTTTTTATATTTTAGGAGGCCAACATTCCATTACAAAGACTGACACCCACGGAGGAAGAGCTTGCCACTGATTGGTGGCAAGCTAGTCAGAATTTTTTTGATGGCACGGATGATGCAGCATCCACTTCCTCCAATTCGAGAGCCATCACCTCACCTAGAGCCATCACCCGATCGAACCGACTATACACCTCTAGAACGAGAGCCATCACCTATCCCGTCACATCATCGAGCCTCTTCTCCACCATCACCTCATGATAGGCGACCGGCAAAGATGCCACGACTCCTATCTCCCTGTTCTCCACCTCCACCTCAACGGGATGAGTCAAGGGAGTTACGTGATGAGGTCAATGCCTTGCGTGAGGAGATCGGTACTCTACGCGATAACGATGGTGCATGGCGTGTGGAGGTGTCAACTTTACGTGGTGAGGTTGCCGCTCTACGTGAGATGATAGTATCGTTGCAGAATGAGGTTCATACTCTACGCAACGAGGTAAGTTTAAGATTTTCCATATTTAACTTAATGATAAATTTACTCGTAATTTCACTTAGATTAGCCATTTCACTTAGATTGCTTAGTAAATTTATTCGGTTGCTGCCAATTCTGCTAAACTGTGTATTCTTTAACACTGTGAAATAGTATTTGTCTTTGTTTTGTCTTTTGGTTGAAAGTAAATTTGTTCGGTTGCTGCCAATTCTGCTAAACTGTGTATTCTTTAACACTGTGAATATATTTGTCTTTGTTTTGTCTTTTGGTTGAAAGTAAATTTGTTCGGTTGCTGCCAATTCTGCTAAACTGTGTATTCTTTAACACTGTGAAATAGTATTTGTCTTTGTTTTGTCTTTTGGTTGAAAGTAAATTTGTTCGGTTGCTGCCAATTCTGCTAAACTGTGTATTCTTTAACACTGTGAAATAGTATTTGTCTTTGTTTTGTCTTTTGGTTGAAAGTTTCAATTTGCAGAAGAAGAAATAGTTTACTTTCGCAACACGAAACTTAAAATCAGAGGTTTCAGATTTGCCAACCCCGTAAGCTATTGGCAATATCCCATTGTTAGCATCCATGGCTACTGCTAATAAGTTTACTCCAAGGTATCGACCTTTCAAATGTGCTCCGTCAACTATAATAACTGGGCGCATGCAAGTAATAAACGAACGAATCTACAAAATAATATACACAAGAAATATAATCATTTAAATGTGAAATGCATGTAACTAACAAAAATGAGTCAACAAAATTATATTGATTTACTAACCGTAGCACCAATGGCGATAAACAGCAACTCAAAGCGTCCATCTCTATCTGTTTTGATATGAGTTACCGACCCAGGATTTTTCAGCTTTAAATTGTGACAATAAGCCGGCAGTTGGGCAAACGATGCTTCTGGCGACCCCCTCAACAATTCCAAGGCATAACATTTGGCTCTCCAAGCTTGAGAATATGATATACTAATCTTGAACCGAGCATTCATGTCAGTCATAATTTCATGTCCCCGATATACCCTGCCATTCAAAAACATTAACTCAGCCAGAAAACCACCCAACACCTTTTTGTTTGCCTGTCTATGGTGAGGAAAAACTTGGGTTCTTGAACATGTATGTTTATCAATAAAAGTCCTAACTTGAAACATTTTGCAATCTTTTATTCTCTTTGCAATCATACGCCACGTACAGTTTTTGTCAATCATACACCTTGTTTCGAAACGATCTTTGCTTGATTTGTTAACTTTTAGTTGATAGCCATCTTCCACACATTTCGTATATAAAGCTATCTTCAAGTCTTCCTTTGTATCAAAACAATCATCTTTCTTGATACGAATAACTTTTGTGTAACAATCAACTGCTTTCTTTATCAACTCTTCTTCCGGTATCTGAAGTAATTCTGGCATATTCCAGTTATACGCCCGTGGCATTTTCTTTTCTTCGGGGACTTTTTCTTCTTCTTTTTCTTCTTCAGGATATATGAATTACAGAATGGATGTTCAACATGTTCATTCACAGTCGTAACTTCCTCCTCATTATCATCAACATTACATTCTTCGGCAACGGCTGTTTCATCATCAAAATTCGGGTATTGACCAATATCAATATCATTACACGCATGGTCTGTTTCTTCTTCTGAAACATCATCAAAATCCGTGTATTGACCAATATCAAAGTCCGGATATTGACCAAGACCAAATTTCAAATACTGACTAGTACTCACAATTTTTCTGTTGGCTCATCATCGTCTAACTGGTCAATACGAAAACCGGAATTTGGTGCTGAAAGTTGATTGGGATTTGGATTAGAGAAAGGTTGTGGGTTTTGAGAAAACTTAGTTGATTACTACCCGCTACTGACCCAACAATACTACTTCTAGGTTCAACAACATACAATGTAACATCATCTTGTGAAACACTAATGTAAGCAATGAATCGTTCAACATCTTCATTGTCGGTTAACAAATAAACTTTACCATTTCTCTGATAAGATAGCCTAAATCCACTTAGGGGCTCTAAATTCAATTTATTTGAAACACGTAGCATTAGAGTTTCATAAGTTAACTTTTGTAAAGACAATTTTAGTTGAAGATTCATGGGTAAAGGCATATATTGTAAAACACCATGAACATTATCCCATGACCCTCCAAAACACAAATCTATCCAAACATGATCAACATTAGATGATTTCATGGTTGTAAATTAATTTACTAAACAGACGAGCTGCGAAACTAAAACCTGTTGCCGGATTGGGAAGGATGTCGTTGGATATAGGAACGGATGTCGCCGGAGAGAGTGATAGATGGAGATGGAATGAGTCTTGATTTAGGGATTTAGTTTATGATTTCAGTGTTATATACCCAAAATTTCAGTGTTGTGATTTACAGATTCTCGTTGCGATTTACGGATTATCGTTGCGATTTACAGATTCTCGTTGCGATTTACGGATTATCGTTGCGATTTACGGATACGCGTTGCGATTTACGGATTATCGTTGCGATTTACGGATACGCGTTGCGATTTACGGATACGCATTGCGATTTACGGATACGCGTTGCGATTTACGGATACACGTTGCGGTTTACGGATACGCGTTGCGATTTACGGATACGCGTTGCGATATACGGATACGCATTGCGATTTACCCATACGCGTTGCGATTTACGGATACACGTTGCGATTTACGGATACGCGTTGCGATTTATGTGTTCGCGTTGCGATTTTCATATTCGCGTTGCGATTATGGAAAATCGCAATGCGAATTTGTACTATCGCATCGCGATTTTCAAGAATCGCGTTGCGATTTTGGAAACTGATTTGCGATTCTGGGGATCGCGTTGCGATTTTTATTTCGCGTTGCTAATTTGTTGGTCATTTTGGCAAATCCAAAAAAAATTGGTTAAAATCGTATATTATAACTTTTTTTTGGTCACTGAGGCGATTTTCTCTAAAAAATATGAGTATTAAATGGTTCTATTTTTTTAAGTGTCATGTCATTAATTTTGGCGAACAAAATCAAATCAATTTAGACTTTTGATAAGGTTTGATCCAATGGCTATTATTCTTTGCCACTTATTTATATATTATAATTATTTATATTTTTCTTCAACTTTTGAAATGAATGTAATTTAATTTATTTTATAATTTTCCCTCACATTTACAATTATTTTGATTTGATCCTTTTATATTATTTAATTTATTTAAATTTTAATTTGTAATTTCATATTTATTTAATTTAGTCTTTAAAATTATATGTGTATCTGAAATTGACTCATACTTAATTATATTTTTGTAATTTACTTCCAACCCTATAAATGACATAATAAATTTCATTTCAAATTCTATAAACTTTTGTTCACCAACCTTTTATATGTATGCAATTTAGTCCATTTTATATTAATTTCAACTTCACATTTTATAATTAATTCGATTTGATCTCTCATCCATGTATGTTGTTTAATTTATTTAATTTTTGTTTCTAATTTCATGTTTTTTTTCAATTTAGTACTTCAAATTATATTTTTATCAAAATTAACCCATAATTATTTGTAATTTATTTTAAATCATATACAATTACATTACAATTCTATGTTCTCACGTTCATGAAACATTTAAAGACGAAAAATAATTAACTAAAAAATGACCCAACTTGAAGTCAATCCGTATTCGGTAAGATCCAACCTGAATTTTGTCTGTCAATGATGTGACCCAATCTGGACGAGAACCGACTGAAGTCCATCTGAACCTGATATTTAACTGCTTTGGACCTAAACCGTTTTAACCTAAATTGACATAGATCCAAACTGAAATTAATCCGACCTAAATCTGAATTGAATATGATGTCAAATCAACCTGAAAATGACCCGAACTGGTTTGACCTATACCTGCTCTGATCTTAGTCAAACTATTAAATTGACCTGACTCAACTTGTATCTTATTTGAGATGACCTGACATGATCCAACTGAAACATGAACGATTACTTGATTTTATACCCCTAAGAGCAGCTGCTAAACGAACAAGTAGGTTAATATCAAATTTTTTAGGCTTATATATGTGCAAATGCAAATTTTATTACCTTGGTCCCACAAATACATTCGCCAGCAACAAGGTAGAGACACTTATTACATACAAGAGAAACTAGTCAGAATTTGGTTTATTCATGTTGTAGCAGAAAGTTTAACTTGAAGTCCTCCGGCATGCCTGTTTCAGTGGAACATGTGGATCAGAGAATGAACCGGTCGAAATCTGATCGAATAGGAACTTGTTAGCTGCCTCGGTGTAATGAATTCCATCCCAAACTACACGAACCAATGGACGATCACACGAACCCACAAATATGTCCGAACCATTCACCGTAATCGTTCCTCCACATATAACCTCGGCGCTATAGTTATACCGACCTCCATAGCCGCAACATGCCACGAGTGGAAGCTCAAACCCTGAACAAAGTAATTCAGCATCGTTAGTGTCCAATACATATCGAACACGAGCACTTCAAGTATGCGGCGTACCGTGTTTTTGGGGCTCAGCAAAAAGGGAATACTTCACGGCATATATGTCTACATATGTAAATGCAGCAGAAGGCAATTCATTTCTGAGCTGAACTATTGTTTCCTTCAATTTGAGATTGAAATACTGAGCCACTTCATTGTGAGGCTTCAAGCAGCCAGCAGGGTCCTTTTCAGCTGAAGAAAATGCAGTCAAAACATAAGGCAAGCAACCAATTGGTCCTGTGCTGTGAACCCAGAAATATCTGCCTCCTAAACTGTATATATTCTGCAAAAACACCCATTTTCATACAATCTCAGAATTTTTAGGTCCAAAACGTTTCAGTTTTTTTTCAAATGGATAATGATAAAATTACCCCGAATGTTTGTATAAATGTGTTCTATTTTTAGAGAATTTTAGATCCAAACATTTCAATTTTTAGTCAAAATATCCTTGTTGGAAGAGGACCATTAATTAAATAATGGTCAACATATGTTACTGACATGACATTTTCACATATGTTTAATTGTTGACGAAACATATATCATGTCACTTATAGTGACGGTGCGACATGTGATGCACTCATATTGATGATATGGCATGTGCCATGTTCTGTCAGCAACATTTGTTGATAGTTAGTCAATTAACGATTTCCTTCTAACAGAAGGTATTTTGACCAAAATTTAAAATATTAATGGCTAAAATGCTAAAAATAAAAGAAAGTATAAGAGTCAAAGTGACTATTTGTATAAATGTTAGGGATAATTTTATCATTATACCTTTCAAATTTCTTAATAGTATTTTACCTTAACATTTTCTGAGAATTTGTTGATCATATCGGGAACAGAAGCATTGACTTGTTGAATTGTCAAGTTTGCAAAGAACCCTTCTCCAAGATCATTTTGGCCAATATCAAAAGTGTATAAAGCTCTTGAAAAATACCCTGCCTTGGGCATTAAACTTGCAAACATCCCTCCTATACATGAAAAAAAAATCCAAAGAACTTAGCAACGAAACACTTAACATAATTGGTGGATGCAATCGAGTGATTATAATATAATAAATCGACAACGTTACCGACTAAAATAACATCCTATACAGACAAAAAATCCAAAGAACTTAGCAATGAAACACTTTAACATAATTGGTGGGTGTAATCGAGTGATTATAATATAATAGATCGACAATGTTACTAACTAAAATAATATACTATACATGCAAAAAATTCCAAAAATCAGCAATGAAACACTTAACGTATTTGGCGGATGCAATCGAGTGATTATAATATAATAAATCGATAATGTTACTAACGATAAAAACATGAACTTCACCGTGTGGTTATCCTTTAAATATAAACTCACCTTGTTTCCTAATCATTTGTGATCTGGATTTGAATTGCTGAAACTGCGAGAACTGTAGATCAAGGTAGAACGGACTAAATCCACCATTAGGGATAATGCGATTAGGTAATCTGATTGTAGATGCTGCGGTGGCAAAGTTTATGCCATGGGAGAAATTGGTCCCCATTGAATCAAGATATGCATTAATAAATGGCAGATCAAATGCCTCAGCTGCCACACACAAATAAAAAGTAGGGTAAAATATAAAAATGGTCCTCCAACTATATATAGGACGATGCTTTGTTAAGTTTATTGACTATTAAAAGTTATAAAATGATCCTCTAACTATAGGGAGATACTTTGTTGAGTCCCCAAATATTAAAAGTTATAAAATGATCACCTGACTATTCATATGTCCCAAACTCATCATTTTATGTTAAAAAATTGACGGTCATTTGAACTGGATGTAGTCAGATATGATAAAATCATATTTTAGTTATGTCTACTGTCATCGTTTTATCTTTCAAGCACTAGCTCGACAACATAAAGTTCCAAGCACTAACTCGACAACATAATATAAATGGAGACTCGGTCCACAAAATACACCTAAAACAATTCTGAGATCGAATTTTATCATATCCTAGTCAGCAGATGTACGTCTAACTAAAAAAACTGTCAATTTTTAACAAAAAATGATAATTTGAAACATATAAATAGTCAAGTGACCATTTTATAACTTTTAATAGTTAGATGACTCAATAAAATAATATTTTATAGTCAATGGATTATCTTATAACTTTTAATAAGTTAGAGTCTAAATAAAAAACATCTTATTTAATGACAAAAAAAAAACCAACACCACATCTTTTAAACAATGAAAATATCTAGTACTTTCATCATCTTCAGTTATCTCCGTATAAGTGTTAGATACGAATATGTATTCTTATAACATACCTATGAAATCGATGACGAGCCGACCATCGGAGAAACGGCGGGCAGGCATGTGAAAGTAGGTGTTTCCATAAGGAGAAGTGGGTGGATCAAAACCAGCAGCGTATCCGCCTGTGTCGGAATTCGAGTCACCTAAGTTAATGATAGCCGGGAAATCACAGGTTTTCGGCTCGTAGGCGACAGGGTTCAAAATGGAAGCTTGGGACAGGAGCAGGACGAGCATGAAAAAGAAGATGGATATGGCGGCTCGTTCGGACATCGTGGGAAACTGGGAGACAGGGAAAACAGAGAGATTGTTTTGGTTTTATCAAGTGATTAACAGTACGAGGGTAGAAATTTATGGGTTTTCGTAGATAGAGATAGCTTGGCTTTTGACAAGTGATAAATTGTTGAATGTTCAATGGATGGAAATTTTCGTGGAACTCCTAAAATTCAAACAGTCATAAATGTGCATGTAATAGATTAAATTTACAGTTCAATATTACTTAAGTTAAATAGAAGTTGTAATTAAAAGAATTCATCCATTGATGTTATTGATAAAAAAAATATTATATTTTAAAGATTTTAAGTATGATTAGTTGTATTATAAGATATATATACATTGTTATTAATTGGTTAATAAAATTTTGAATATATAATATTTTATAATCATTTTAATCTATTCAATTAAAGAAAATGTAAATTTTTATTATTAAGATTATGAAATACGTAACATATTTATCAAAAAAAAATATAGATATTAAAATACACAATTTGATTTAAAATTTTCATGTATTAATTATTGGGTAAACTATATATTTTCTCACTGAACTATATTCTCTCTCCTATTTTCCTCACTCAACTTTCAATCTTTTTAATTTGTTCTCCGAACTTTACAAATTGAATCATTTTATTCACTTTATCTCTAATTATTTAACGATGTTATGACATGACATAAGCATCAAAACGAAGTCGTTTTGAAAAACTTAAATATAAACCAAAACGACGTCGTTTGGAATCCATTATCAAATCTTTTTTTTTTCTTCTTTATTTCTTTATTTTTTTCATTTTTCTTTCCCTCATTTTCTCTCTATGTTGCAACCGGTTGCTGTCGCCGGCCACCACGCCATTTTAATCCATGCCACCTTCCACCGTTGTTGATGGTGGCCGCTCGATCTCAAATTTCATGGGTCGATTCATCTCGACCCCCTAAGTTCGAATCTGGTGGTTGATTCACCAGAAAATGTCCCGAAACCCGTGAATTTGGACTAAAACTTTTTGGCTTTCTCACTTTCAATATCAAATTAGTGGATTTCGGAGCAAGTTTCAATAAAATAGAGATCGGATTCGGACTAACGGTGTCGAGATGAAGCGACCCATGAAATTTGAGACCGAATGACCACTATCTATGACGGTCGATAATGGCCAGTAGTGGTATCATACCACCTTTAATTTTTTGTTATTTTCTCAATTATTTTATATTAAAAAAATAATAAAAAGTGACACATCATCAAAACGTTAGATAGATAACAGGGGAGTGAGCAAAATGATTCAATTTGTAAAGTTCAATGAGTAAATTTAAAAAAATTGAAAGTTAGGTGAAGAAAATAGGACAGATAATATAGTTCAGTGAAGAATAATATAATATACTCAAAGATTTAAATGAATTGTCGTGTGTGTTTTCTCATTTTTGCTCGTGTGTGTGTGTGTTTTTTTTTCATTTCCTACTATTAATCTCAACCGTTTATTTTCACTCATCCAATGAATGCATAATATGCGGTCTAATTTTTTATTAAAAAAATTAAAATCCTTATTTGAAAAATATTAAAACCTCAAAATGTAATTTTCAAATCCCTAAATTCATATATATCGTCGTTGAATCAACTATCCCTACCCACCCCTTATATTGCCATACCTTCACTATTAATAACCACATCCTTCTATCGTCAAAAATCGACCAACGATGTATCAATCGAATCTCAAACGTAACAACTTCCAATCAAACAACAAACAACGGATGAAAGACGAACAAACGATAATCTGAGAGTTGTGGATCTTGCAGTGAGGAGGATACTTCGTTGTGGCGACATGGTAATTGTTAATGAGAAAAAAGGAATTTAGGGTTAATGATTTGGGACTTTATTAAGAAATTAGAAAATTTTAGAATTTTAAAAAAATTAAAAAAAATAAAATTACAAAATCACATATCAAACAATGATTGAGTGGATGATTCTTATTCATAATAGGCCGATCTTAAAATTTAATAAAATAAGCATTAAACACATATTTTACTAAAAATAAAAATATTTTTAATTAAATAAAACTTTAAATACTTAAATAGAAAATAGGGTATACTACACCAGGTACCATTAAATTTTAGGCGTTGTATCGTTTATACCACTGAATTTTCAATTTTATCAATTGTAGCACCTTTTCAATTATACCACTGAGTCGTTAAATCGTTAACAATCAGATCAAAACGACATCGTTTTGTTGAGGTGTCTACATCGACAGTTGTTTTTCACCTCGGAAACCGTCAATCACGTCATCGTTTCATTAACAATTTAACTTTTCAATTGTATAATTGAAACAAAAATCAAAGTTTAGTGCTATAATTGATAAAATTGAAAGTTCAGTGGTATAAATAATACAATATCTAAAGTTTGGTGATATATGATGTAATTTATCCTAAAAAATAAAATATAATTTAAACATTTGCGAAAAGCCAAAAGAAAACGCACAAAGAGATAGGGAGATAGACAAAGATATCTCCAGAATCCGAGCTGGCAATTAGCAGAGATATCAACGAAAGCCCCCCGGCTCCGAGAACAAAACATACTGCGAGCTTGTGGAAACCCGTCATGCCACGTGTACGACACTCTTACCCACGTGGCATCCCTCGGAAGGCCTGCCAAGATCGCGCGTATCATAAACCCCTTATCCAACACCATCCCATTTTTGTTTTTGGCTTAGAGACTCCTCTCACTGTCTCTCTCCCTCTCTCTCTTTCCTTCTTCCATTGCCACTAAACGGCTATTGAAGAAACGTTATTCTTTTTTGAAACGCCATGACCGCCATAGCTACTGCTGGTGCTTTGTCTTTGCCAATCTCTTTACAAAGATCTTGCAAGATTACTTCCTCTAAAAAGGTACCTTTTTTAGCATAAAACATTTGAAACCATTCTTCTTTGTTAGTTAGCAGAAAGTCCCCAAATCACTTTTATCTATGGCTCATAATTCGAGGTTGATGCTGTTTCAGGCCATTAAAAAGGGGTTTAGGGTGTATGCTTTGTTTGGTGAGGAAAGTAGCTTGGGGGATAAGAAGAGCCAGTGGGGAACTCTGTTTGATGTTGAGGATCCAAGGTCTAAAGTTCCGCAATGTAAAGGCAAGTTCTTAGATGTATATCAGGCCTTGGAAGTGGCTAGATACGACATTCAGTACTGCGATTGGCGGGCTCGGCAAGATCTGCTCACAATCATGGTTCTTCATGAAAAGGTCTTCTTCAAGCTTAATATGATATTCTTCTTTGTGAACACTTAGAAATCTGTGCTATTGCTTATACAAGTTGTATTATTTACTACTTGACCTGTGTTTTCAAACTTTTGGTATGTTTTTAGTTATTTTCGAACTTGACCTGTTGTTTTGTTATGGTTGTAGTTAGTGGAAGTGTTGAATCCTCTAGCTCGTGAATTCAAGTCTTTCGGCACCATGAAAAAAGAGCTTGCGGAACTGCAAGGAGAACTAGCACAAGCTCACAAACAGGTATAAAAACCCAGCAGATGATGAAACTGTGGTTATTTTAATTCAATCAGGAGATGTTTAAATCGATTCAATGATTATGCTTACCTTCTCTTTTTCAACAAAATAATCGGAGTAGGACTTGAACTAATTACCATAGGAATCAGACTATCAATTAAAGTTGACAAAGGAATAATCAAAACATGTCCCTATTTTTGGTATCTACCAATTTTGTTTCTGATCCGGGAGCAATATCAGGTACATATATCCGAAACAAGGGTTGCTGCCGCTTTGGATAAACTAGCTTACATGGAGGAATTGGTTAATGATAAGCTTTTAGATGATAGGACTGCAACAGAGTCCACTGTAGCATCTTCTTCTAGTACATCAACACTATCTTCGGATTCTGTGAAGAGGAAGTCGCCCCGGAAGAGCTTGGATGTGTCGGGTCCAGTTCAACCATATCACCCGCGCTTGAAGAACTTTTGGTATCCCGTTGCTTTCTCCACTGATCTGAAGGACGACACTATGGTAAGCTATATCCGAAACAATAATATTTCTTATCATCAAACTCCACAAAATATTGACATACTCATTCTACATAACGATGATTGGCATTGTTGCCACATTTATCTCGGGCTTCTTTCACAATTCATATAGCTATCAATTCTACGAGAATGTGTTTTATGATGGGGATACATGGAAACTTTGTTTTGTTTTATCGTCTTGTTAACATGTGTCTGTTTATTAATGTCTTTATTACTTCTCCTTCCAGATTCCGATCGAGTGCTTTGAAGAGCCATGGGTTCTTTTCCGTGGAAAAGATGGGAATCCGGGATGCTTCCAGAACACCTGTGCACATAGAGCATGTCCTCTTCACCTTGGTTCAGTTAACGAGGGTCGTATTCAGTGTCCCTACCATGGTTAGTATGAACTTAGGGCTTGTACATTTTAAAAGCAAGACAGATAACAATGAATGATTCACACAGTATATATGCTCAGAATAACATCCGGTCCTTCATCGTGTTTAACAAATAGTTGTATAAATTTTTCTAAATTCATGAAACATTTTTTATGCTTCAGGCTGGGAATACACAACAGATGGGAAATGTGAAAAAATGCCATCCACGAGATTACTTGATGTGAAGATAAGATCATTGCCATGTCTTGAGCAAGAGGGAATGATCTGGATTTGGCCCGGTGATGACCCTCCTAAGGCAACCCTTCCTTCCTTACAGCCTCCTTCCGGATTTGAAATTCATGCCGAGGTATGCTTTAAGTAAACAATGGACAACTTTAAGTAAACATCTGCACTGCCTCACATCATATGCTGATCAATGCCAGATTGTTATGGAACTTCCGGTTGAACACGGGCTACTTTTGGATAACCTTCTGGATCTTGCTCATGCACCGTTTACTCACACTTCCACATTTGCCAAGGGATGGACTGTTCCAAGGTTTGTTTCTGCAATCATATTGGCAAATGGTTTGTGGCTTTTGTAGTTTAGTTTTGAAGCAGAATAGTCTTCCATATTAATTTTAGCACGTAATTCGGAATTGTTTTGATCAATGATTCTTCTAATTATCTTGCTCGTTAGTAGTACGGATGGACTAAATGCTAACAATTAATAGTTGATATGATTTTGAATATATTATCTTACTTGCTGTGTGTAATCTGAACATCACAGTTTGGTGAAGTTCTTGACGCCTGCATCAGGTCTCCAAGGATACTGGGACCCTTATCCCATTGATATGGAGTTTCGGCCTCCTTGTATGGTGCTATCGACCATTGGTATATCAAAGCCGGGAAGACTGGAAGGACAAAGTACCAAGGAATGCACAACACACCTTCACCAGCTTCATGTATGCATACCTTCATCAAGAAATAAGACAAGACTATTATATAGAATGTCACTCGATTTCGCTCCTGTGTTGAAGCACATTCCTTTCATGCATTATTTGTGGAGACATTTCGCAGAGCAGGTAAACAAAATATCATTAATATCGCCTTTCCTCCGTATTATCATCATTTACCAGTTTTTGAATTGCAAACATCTCCGATATCTGTCAACGGTGCTTGTCACTAATATTTTGTTCTGCTTTATGCACATGATGAATACAGGTCTTGAATGAAGATCTGCGACTCGTAATAGGCCAGCAAGAACGTATGATTAATGGCGCAAACATCTGGAATTTACCAGTCAGCTATGATAAGCTAGGAGTGAGGTACAGATTATGGAGAAAAGCTCTTGAACAGGGAGCTAAACAATTACCCTTCAGCAAACCAATGTAAATTCCAACTCTAGCAACCTTCAACATCCTTTCACACATTGTCTGGACCGATTCTCGACACTCTCGAACATGCTTAGTAAGCTATCTACCAAAATCGAAGATACATTTTTTAAGGTTTGGCATCGGCATGGGAGGAGAACCATGGAGATCCATCAGAAACAGATGCAAGTTGGTCTCTACAGACAGACCTTTGTAAAATAATAGCCTGTACACTGCTCTTATAGTTTGTGTGTACAGTTGAAACACATTTTTTTCCCTCTGCCGGTAACCCCGGACCGGAGAGTTGATCTGAAAATTTTGGCCTTAGATCATAGAAGCCAATGTTATCAACTTGTCCTGTATTAAAGATCTTTGTATTATAGTAACGATGTCTAATGAAAATTCGCAAGATTTACAATTGAACTACATTTAAGCATCGTGTACCCTCGAGGCTCAAAATATGCAGACCATTTACTGATTAGTGTCAAAGCATAAACAATCCCATTGCTTCCTGTTTTGTTCAAATGTAAAAGGGCAAGGATTTTAGATTATTATGGATCGAACTCCATACTCGACGGATTATTCATGTCTTTGTTCCGAACCATCTCAAACGAAATGGTCTCAATGTGCATATATGCAGTTATACATCTTAGTACAGCACAGAAATGTTCCATAAGATGACACTCAACAACCAAAAGCTTACATTCCTAGCATAAGATGACACCCAAAAGCATACATTCCTAACAAATGTATTTGTACCAGTTACTATACGAAGTTACACGGACCTGAAGCTACCGATTCCGGAACAAAAAGACCTTAGCATGCGGGCCTATGTACAGATATCAGGAAACAAAATGTGGAGTTTATTCGAGTGATATACAACAAACTATACCATAAACACTCCCGCATATTTGTCTGATCACCAGCAGCTCGAAGCTAAAACAAAAACTCCGAAAGGGAAGTCATATTGGTTTCCTCAGCACCTCTTGAAACATATCCAGGATCAGTTCTCGGTCTGCCTGCCTGAAAAAGTTATTGATTTCCTCTCTAGAATCGTAAATCTTGGCGAAATCAAACAAGTATGTCATACACCCTTTCTTCAGCTTGGTTAATTGGTAAAGCCAAGCCTCCTGCAGCCTCTCAAGGACATTCTGCGAGTTAATGTCTTCTTAACAGGCTTTCTTCACAAGCATCTTTTAAATCTACAATGTTGTATTTATTTGCCGCTCCCAGTAATGCCAGTCGATGCTTCCCAAAGTCCTCTTGCTTTATCGTTCCATACAAGTAACTGAGAAGGGTCATGCAAGATTCCAGTGACATGTCGTCTATATGGATTGTGGACGACGCCTTTTCCTTAAGGTTGTGATGGAACATGCTCTCAAAAACGGGTGAACTTGCGGATAAAACTGCCTTGTGCGCTCCTAGAGTACCATCAGAAGTCTGGATGGTAACATCTGCATGAAGCCCATCAAGCATGCGAGCAAGGCAGCGCAGGGTGCCTTGAGTTGACAGAAACTGCTTTGCTCCATCTATGGGCCATATGGAAACGGATTCACCACCCTGGGTTTTAAAATGTATAGGGTTAAGAGAAGATATTTGTCGACATATAACAAGGGCTACCTGCTGGGAAATTGCATATAACAAGGAAAAATAACTTGAAGCGTAGTTACTTGCTATGTATTAACTAGTTTTCGGTGGCTCTTCCGACACCGTGAAACATGCCTTCCCAATAAGGGAAGAGAGAGGGAGAGAAAGAAGTAGAACATATTGACTTGCCAGCATTTTACATTAATAACAATCTAAAGGAGCTCACATTTATAGGGCAGATCCATAGGTCCAGAAACTCGACATCAATAATGAAGTGCCCATGGAATGTAGAATCAACAGGCCAACAAAAGTCGTCACACGTTCGCAGCGGTCTACCATGAACTACAGCACCGAGTAGGCAACTTAGTGTCAAGTGTGAATTCCCAAAGCTGCTCAACAGACTAAACATGCATAAAAGCCTATTGAGAAAGCAGTTATGAGTTCATTGTTGTTCGATTGATGAGAAAGCAATAGAAAGGTTCAAGAGATCAAAGGCACTACAAATAAATATTGCTTGAGACAATCCAAATGATAGTGATTACTCAATTCCAAAGTAAGTTTTCCTAACAAAATATGAACAAAACAAGATTTATGTCAGCATATGGATTCAAATTGAGAACTTAATAATAGAAAGATAAGTTCTTTTCTCAATTCTTGCATTAGTAGGTAACCAAATTCGACTTATCTTGTGCTTCTTGTTCCTCCATTTTTATTCATCATCTCATTCTACAACGGATATAAACACTGCTCAAAATCAAGAATCGCGATCCAATTTCAAATATCAATTCCATTCTAAAAACTCCATGACAAAGCACAGCAACATACAAACACACAAGCACACTAGTATCATATGTGTTAGACAATAAAACTAAATCTCAGATCCCCAATTTGCTTTCACTTTGACATGATGAATTGCTTCCACCACCATAATTTGAACATAAAAGTCAGATTTTTTCCAATTAGCTAAAGCCTTTGGGTGATTGATCAATCAACTATCTCTTCCTTTTAGAACCAAAGTAGACATATTGTGTTCAAAATCCTAAACCCGCTTTTCCAATTTCAAATATCAATTCCATTCTAAAAACTCTATGACAAAGGACACCAACATACAAACACAAACACACAAAAGCAAACTTCTTTTATATGTTTTAGACAATAAAATTATAAAACTCAATCTCAAATCCCCAACTTGCTTTCACTTTCACATGTTAAATTGCTTCCACCACCATAATTTGAACATAAAAGTCCTGTTTGTTCCGATTAGATAATGCCTTTGAGTGATTGATCAACCAACTATGTCTTCCTTTTAGGACAAAAGTCGACATATTGTGTTCAAATCCTAAACCCCCTTTTCCATAATTTATTCATCCAGCAACTTATCCATTGGATTTACAATCAAAACCCTTCACTTGATCTTCATCTTCAACCTTTCTTCTAAACTTGAATCCAAATTTAAAAGCCATTAATCTTTCCTATCAATTTAAGCAAGGGGATGAAAAACAAGAAAGGCATACCTGGGGAGATATAAAGTTTACGATTAACACCAACATTAGAGATCCGAAGTATGAATTTAGCATAAGGAGGCTGCTCCTTAGACACCCGAGATGGCTCAGGGAACAAACGAATATACAAATATCGATTCTTCTCTACAGACAAGTGCCTGTTCTATTAAAGTCCCCCAGGAATCAGTCAAAGTTATCAAACAAGACAACAAAAACAAAAAGAACAACAATTTCCAATAAAGAAAAAAAAACTGGGTATTAGATTAAAAAAGTACCAGTTCCAAAGACCGACCTTGAAAGGGTCGGATTTTCTGTAAGAACAAGGACCAAAGTTGTCAATCCTCCATTGAGCTAATCTGGAGATCGTTTCAACCTTCGTATCACCCATTTTTTCTTCTTTTTTTGCGTTGAGAGAGCTAACCTCTAAGGGATTTTCTCTCGTTTCCTTGTAGTTTGTACGAGTGATGGCGTAGCCGTAGAGGGAGAGAAGACGTTTTTTTCACGCCTTCTTTCTCTTAGCAAAGTCGGATGCTTTATCAGTTGATAAAACAACTTTTTTTTTCTTGACAACAGAAAATTAAAACATGTCATTTTTCTTCAATGATTGCCAAATAATATTAGGTTTTAGATATTTTCCAATATATGGACCGAGTCAGATTGAGTTCAGTTGCTTAATTTGTTTTCAGTCAACTCATTAACTCGATAATAAAATATTAAAAATATATTGATTTTGTATTTTATTATTAAACTTAAAAGAAAACTGAGACATAAATGGTATTTTTGTTATGCTACCTTACATGGAGGAATTGGTTAATGATAAGGTGTTAGATGATAGGACTGCAACAGAGGCCAATGTAGTATACTCGTCTTGTGCATCGACACGATCGCGGATTGCGACGAAGACGAAGTTGCCCCAGAAATATTTGTATGAAAAATTATCTCTTGTTAGATCAAATTCGTTAGTAACATTTATCATTAATGTGACAAAATCTTGTTAAACTAACAAGAAGAAGCAAGTTTAAGCAGTAAACTTTCTCATCTTATTAACTTGAGCAAAGATACATTTATAGGAAGTTTACAATAATAACAGCCTCTAACAAACTATCAACAATACAACAACCTTTCCCGCCTTTATGAGCTATACGTTGCATGCATATCACGTGCACTAACAGAAGTAGAGTATCCACAAGAAGTCTTACAAGTATAAAGTTGTGTTTTATGCCTAAAATTATGACATAACATTATCACGTATCTAAAGTAATAATATATCACATGTCACATATCTAAAATAATAATGATGTATTGTCATGTGTTCAAGGTGATAACATGATATTGTCACTTGTTTAAAGCGATGACATGAAACATGTCACGTCATCATTTTATAAACATATGACTTGTCACATCAATAACAAACGTTGATAATTAATTAATTAACGGTTTTCATTTGATTATGGATATTTTACTCCAAAATGAAATGTTGGTCTCAAAATATTTCAAAAATAAAAGAGTTAAAAGTGACAATTTTATTAAATATTAAGGGTGAATTTCGATATTATATCTTGAATTTTCTATTAAACACTTTTATGTATCATGCTGGCAATACCAAACCGATGGGAAATGTGAAAAAATGCCATCTACTTGATTACATAACGTGAAGATAAGACCATTGCCCTATCTCGAGTAAGAGGTAATGATATGGATTTGATCCAGAAACGACCCTCCGGCGACAACGCTTCCTTCTTTACAACCTCTTTCCGAATTTGAAATCCATGCAGAGGTAGACTTTGTTTAAAGTTACTCGATGAAAACAATCGACAACCTTTTTTTGTAAAAGTATGTTGATAAATGCCAGTTTGTCATGGAACTTCCGGTTGAACGCGGACTACTTTTGGATAACCTATTGGATATCGTTCATGCACCGTTTGTTTACACTTCTACATTTGCCAACAGATGGACGGTTCCAAGGTTCGTTTCTGCAATCGATTTGGCAAATGATTCCTCTAAATATCTTGCTCACTGTGAGTGATCCGGCCATCGCAGCTCGATGAAGTTCTTGACACTTGCATCCAGTCTCCGAGGATATTGAGACTGTTATCCGATCGATATAGAATTCCGATCACTGTGTATGATGCTTTCGACCATTGGGATATCGGAGTCGAGAAAATTGGAATTAGGACAAAGCACCACAGAAAGCACAAGACAGCTTCATCAGCTTTATGCATGGTTTTCGGCCATGCTATCGGTTCACTGGTTCAACCGGTCGAATCGGTCCGATCGGTCGAAAGAACCGGACGACGTCATAATTATTTAAAAAATTAAATAAAAATAGAAAAAATATT